AGCCAACAGCCTCCTTGTTTCTTTAAACAGACATCGGAACCTATAACTGGATCCTGTCAAACAAACGACAGCAAAAAAATATAACAGCTGCTAAGAAGGCAAGTTGAGAGATAAAGTTTTTGAGGCTAAGGACCTTCTCAGAAGTAGACTAAAGGTCTTTCTTAAATCTTTAAGCAAGGTTATGGATCCCAGGGTGGCTTTTAGGCACCAAGTCAAATATGCAACTTTGTGTACCATTCCTGTCATAGTATTTCGTGTTCCAGAAAAAAGACAGAAAGGGCAAACTTCTTGTTGATTAGCATCTGCTGAAGCATTCTGCAAAGTTGCTTATACCTGGAATTATCACATTTGAAAAGCATGATTTCATTTGAAAAAAATTGTGGTCAAAAGCATGTGACATACCATTTCTCTTCCTAATCCTTTTTAAGTGTATAGTTCAGTGATTTTAAGTATATTCCATTATTGTACAGTAAATCTCCAGGTATCATTTTATTGTTTTAAAATAGTTTGGGTGCATATTAACCAGAACCGGGAATCATGAAGGAAGTATGAGTTAAGACATATTCCAAATGATGAGCGCCAATCTAAATTATATTACAAACTTAAGAAAATTAATGTTATTGCCTTAAAACCAAATATATTTTGGATGCATAAAAATATGCACCAATTTTTTTGTTCACCAATTTTTTTGTGCACCAAACATATTTTGGATGCATAAAAATATGTGTAGGGTAGAAATATGCTCATTCATCTAGTTAACCCTACTCTTACATAAAATACGTATTTGGCAAAATGCATGTTTGATATTATTGAGTAGAAATATGACTGGTTTGCCACTTAAGGCATGTCCTTTTAGATCTCACACCAAAGAACTCCCTATATTACATAGTCACAATGTGTCAAGAAAATAACCTGCAAAATAAGGCAAAATTAAATGTCTCCTGGTTTCATAACGAAGATAAAGCCAGCCAAATATATGTTTATTGTTCAGGGGTGATTACATCATTTTTAAGCACACATAGTTCCCTGCTTTTTATTATTGTCATGGTTCTTCTGTCTTGTAGGATCTGTTCTTTCCTCTCATAGTACTCATCACAGTTTATGCTAACATACATAATCGTGTGTGTCTGTTTAATGTCTATCTCCTCTGTATTATCAACTGGTAACACAGAAGACGACACACAGTAGGTACTCAATAGCTATTTGGCTTTGATTACTTCATTTAACCAATATTTATCGAGTGCTTACAAGGTGTCGTGTGCTGTATAAAGCTTCTTTCCAAATAATGGACCTCAACAAAGGATAGTCAGTTACATGCTTGGCATAAAAAGAACTATGAATTAAGGTCTTACTACTTGTTACACCAGTTTAAAATATATACTTTGTTTAGTTCAGGTCTCCTAGGCCCTTGTATCTGACAGACACAGGTGATCATATTTTTAAGTAAGCAATTTCTACACATATGTCATCATAAACTACACAAAGTGTTCTATAACATAGTGAAAAATGAACTTCTCACTGCTTACATCTACTGTATGTCACAATGCCTTCCTCTACATCAAACTTTCCCAACCCATGGCCCAGGGATTTGAATGGAGCCCAACACAAATTCATAAGCTTTCTTAAAGCACTATGAGATTTTTCTGCATTGTTTAAAGTTCATTAGCTATTGTTAGCATTAGTGTGTGTAATGCTATGTGTAGCCCAAGACAATTCTTCTTCTTCCAATATGACCCAAGGAAGCCAAAAGATTAGATACCACTGTTGTACATGCTTGTTTCCTCAAACCTCCAAAACAGTGTCAGATGATCTCATGCTTTTGGTCATTGTACCCAGGATATGAATTAAGAATTAGCAGAACCATGTTTTAATATTTTCACAGAAATTACTTTGTAAAAGAAACACAAGTTGAGTTTTTCATTAGCTAATTATGATTTCTCAGATACATGCTCTACAACCATAAAGGCAAGGCAAGGGGAAGGAACCACTTGGAAGAGCTTTAAGGATTAACATGCTCCTTAAGAGTTTGTCTTCCAAATTTTGCTTGTATTTTTAAGGCTCAGCAGACAATGTCAGAAACCACAGAAATCAAGTTAATCTAGTTATAACAGTTGGTGACAAGGAGAATGCTCTGGCAATTTCGAGTAATAAAGAGAACCAAATCAAGATAAGGAAACGTACTGAACAAGGTATTAGCTAAATTGGTTTACATTCAGTTTATTAATAGATTTTCTTCTAGGCATGTACAAAAGTTGCAAAATTTAAAATGTAATCACCTTACCAGGGATGAATAAAGAATGCATCTTGGGCCAAGTACTGGGTAGAATTTCCTTGGAGAGATTACAGAAGTGTGAGCAATTTGGCGGTGTTCGATGCAAACAGGTAAGACAAATAACTGACTGACGGACTGACTGACTGGATGGATAGATGAATGAATGAATCAATAGTGAGATCTGCCTTCCTGAAAATGTTTCATTTTAAATCATCCATCTAATAAGCATTTTAGAGACATAGCCACAATTTGTAGATGATTTTTTAAAAGGAGTAAAAAATAATCACAAGAAAAAAAGAGAGAGAGACGGAAACAAATCTTTTTTATAACAGCCAATGTGCCGATGTAGTGAGTATCAAGACCATTTCCCTAAGACTGTGAGAGTAAACACACAGTTTTCATTAAATGTTCCTTTCCCATAACTGGTTCATCAGCATTTCCCATGATTCTGCAGTTGAGTTTCTTGGCTGGGAGAGTATCTGGCCATTAGAAGGAGGGATCCAGATATGCTGAGTCCCAGCCATGCTGAGAGACTTGGCACCTTTATATGCTACTTCCTAATACCAACCCCAACATAAAATGTCATCAGAAGCCTGCATAAACATTGGACTTAGATTCACATAAATTATTTCTGTCCTGAAATGCTTTATGCCAGAATTTTGTAAAAACAACACTTTGAGTAAATAGAATTGGTGTATAAATATAAGAATATTAATCCAACAAAATGATCATAGAAAATTATAATCAAAAGTACACACTTGTAAATCTTGCAATGATGTGAGAGGTTTATCTTGTGCTTCTTAGTTTTTATTGAATATTTCCATAGGGTTCCTTCAAGCTGATGTTGCCAAAGTGCTTTGAATTATCAGTTGCTTTGTGGAATTGGAAAGTCTTTGAGTTTCATGAAAATGCTTAGGAATTATTTTAATAATCACATGTGTGATTAGCACCTGTTTAGTGCTGGATCTACAAATTCATTTTAAGAGTAAACATAGGGACAATGAAATATAACGCTAGATGTGATTGCTCCAGTCAGCAATGACATTGTCTTATTTTATTAAAAATCACCAACAAAATGCCATAAACTAAAGATATGGTTTCTATTTACAGACATTTTCTACTCTACAATATTATAATATCTGCACACCGCAAGGCTGCATCTAGCAGTTTTTTGTTTTGCCTAGGGTAGAGACATAAATCGAGAGGTACGGAGCGCTTCTTTACACATGCACACATCTTATTATGTGCTTCCCCAACGTCCTATTTGGATTTTTGGTCTAATATAACAATGCTCACACTGTTGGCACTGAGTATTTATAAGTGGATGAAGATTTCCTGAAAATGATGACAATTTAGCTATTGGAAATAATAACATTATAATATTCTCAGTGATCCATTTTGTCTTTAAGTACTTACTGAAGAATATTTATTCCTAAAATATATACTTATAAAATTAAATGAAATTGCAACTTGCAATAAAAACACATTTTTCTCTGAACTCCAATTGACTTCATTTCTCATAGACACTTCTCCCGTGTTCATCCTGCAGTTGCTGCTTTCTACTCTCACTGTACTCTCTGCTCTTCTCTCTGATGTGTTGATATGCTTTCCCCAAAGTCATTCTCTTTATCCACATTCCCTACCCACTCTTCCCCTTCTTGTTATTCTCTCATTCCCTACTGATAGGGGAATAATAGGATCCCAAGGCTGTCCTTACAGTATAATTAAAGTATGAATTTCCAGGAGTTAGAAATTGCAGACCATTTTTATTATGCTTTTATAATAAAGCCAGGTAACATTGAGAGAATTAAAATGGCTTTTTCCTAGCAGATTACTGGGTAAAGATTTTTTCCCCTTGGTTCTATTGTCTTAAGAGACTAGGAGCTGGAAATGGGAATAGGTTCACCAATCCTTTTTCTGAAAACACCTCTATCTTTTACATGATATATATCCCCCTAGATCCTGGGAATATGTTGTAAACTTGTAACAGATGGTGATGAAGCCTCCCATTTTTATACAATACATTTTTTAAGATTCTGCATCTACTATATGTATCTTCCAGGAAAAATGACCTTGAATGAATGAAGTCATAGTTTGAAGGAAAAACACCCCACAGATAGAGTGGAGTAGAAATGATGATTCCATTGGGTTTTGTTTTGTTCCCTTCAGTAAGATGAAATAATTTCAGATGAAAAACAGAATGCTGAAATAGAGGAATCAAAGGTCATCTTTTGAGGTGTGTCTTTTAATTGTTCCTGAAAAACCCGTTAATGTATTCTGTACTGAACAGAGACGTGTGGAAGGTGGGATATCACTGTCTGCGATTCGGAATGGTATTTGCTTAACTTGGGTAATGTTGGGGGCTTACCAAAAATTGTTCTGGCACAACGTCTACCAGCATGAATGTTAGGAGGGTTCTAACACTGTGAGTGCTGATATTTTATGAATGTTTTATCACTGGCTTGAAAACAAGAAGTTTGCACTTGAATCAACAGTATGTCAGACAGACAAAATATTAAAAAAAAAAGAACATTAGTGAGAATTACTAATGTCCCTATTGTAAAAACAAACTGAAGTTAATAAGAAACTTGATCCTCTTAACCGATTAACACAAGTCAAGTTTTAATTGCATGGCTTCTCATACAAATAGAGTGGCACTGCTAACTTGAGTATTGGTTGTGTAGAGGGTGCAATAATGGGGGGAACTGCTGCACATTCAGTCACCCACCTCTTTTCTCAACAGCTTCAATGCATTGCTTTACAAACCACGGAACTGTGGAATTTTCACGTTCACACACTTTGTGCAGATGAGAGCCAAAAATTTGATCTGCAAAAGAAACAAAGATGAGCTTCATTAAAATCCAAGCTTGCGTTGTTCTTTAATTTGATTCTGTTTCCATATCCACTGCATACTGAAATCTTCATCTTGCATAGGAATTGATTTTTTTTTTTTTTTTTTGCTTTATTTCCAAAGTGTCTACGGCAGACATACGAAGACCACAACTCCCTCCTTTATGGAACAGGATCTTGGCCCCAGAGTGAGAAAACTGACGCTCAGCCATCGATTAGCAGGGATGACTGTGTAAGTTATAGTCTCTCTGGGCCTTAACTTTGTTGTCTATAAAGGAATGACAAAGAATTAAGAAAATTTCTGCAAAATAATTAATCTTAGTGTTTTGGTATACTGAGTGTTTTAGAAGAAGTTTACCAGTTAATGGTTATAAAAATTACAATGTTATCAGTATATTTAGGATATTCGTTCTGCAACTCAATAGTATTTGAGGAGGCAAGTTCTAGGAGACTTGCTTTGAAGTGAATTACTTAGCATTTCACCTGCCTTGAATGCCCTTCCTCTTCTCTAATCTAACTATCACCTTTCCTTTAGGGTTCAGCTCAGATCACACTTTCTCCACTAACCCCTTCCTATCTCAGTTTTGTGTCATCTGTGACATAGGTTCTTTGGAATACCAGATCCTCAGGCTGTTAATAGATGATTCAGGGAAAAGGGCCTGCGAACAAAATGGTTTAGCATCATTAGGTTCTGCAAAGTTAGACAGGTTTAACGTGTATTTATTTTTAGAGCCTGTGATATGCCCATGTGTGCTGTGAATCTCCATGAGGGGTGGAGGATGCATTATCTCCCAAACTTATTTGAGCAACATCCTTTGATTTCAGAGAGCATGTTTCCAGACTAATGTTTACGAGAATACCCACTGTGAAATCCGAGCCTAGCCCTCTTGTTTGGAACATGATTGACGCTACCTTACATTGTGTATTTACATTTACAATAAATGGGATAGACTCTCTCAAAGCAGATTCTGAGTGTCTGAATCATCTATGTTTTCAACAGTGCTTAGCACAGACTCTGGCCTGCAGTATTTACAGATAGATGTTTGTCTTTTATAACTGTGGTAAAACACACATAACATAGAATTGATTATTTCCACCATTTTAAAATGTACCATTCAGTGGCATTAAGTACATTCACAATGTTGTGCAACCCTCACCACCATCAATTTCCAGGTTTTGCTATTGAGATAGTATCTGTTTATTACTGATAATGAAACAAATATTTAGTGGGTCCAAGGGCTTCCCATTTCACTCAGAATGAAATCAAAGTCCCTACTGTAACTTATAAGATATTACATTATCTGACCTCCACTAATAAATGGATTTTATTTGGGTCTTCTCTCCCCGTCTTTAAATTTGTAGTAGCCCCACATTGCTGTTTCTCATGGCTGCCAAGCACTGTTCTGCTGCAGGGACTTTGCATTTTCTTCTTCATGGAACGCCATTGCCTTAGGTCTCTGATCAAATGGTATCTTCTTATTGTAGCCTTTCTTTCCTACCATCCTTTAAAAAAATGGCTCCACTCCATGCCATTCTCTATGCCACTTTCCCAGCCTTACTTTTCTTAGAACACATATCTCCACTTGACATATGAGACTGATACGTTTTCTGCTTAGTTGTTTCCCTTGCTTAGAATGCAAAAGCCAGGAGAGTAGGAGTCATATCTCAACCATTTATTATTGGATCCTGAGTACCTAGACAGTGTTTGGCACATACTAGAAGTTCAATAAACATTTGTAGAATGATGGACTGCAAGACGCCATCTTAACCATCAGTGGAGGTAGTCAATAAATTTTTTAAAGTAAAATTAGATAGAATAATAGATAATGCAGCATAAAATAATGTCCAGTGATATGTATTGTTATAAGGGGATACTCAAAATGGAGTATAGGGAGAATTCAATGAATCATAATTTTCATTTATTTCTTAGGAAAGCATAATAGTTTGAATTGCTGACAACCCAGCATGGAGGGAACAATTAAAGCTAAAACACTATTAATAACATACTCCAGGCCGGGCATGGTAACTCACACCTGTAATCCCAGCACTTTGGGAGGCTGAGGTAGGTGGATCACAAGGTCAAGAGATTTAGACCATCTTGGCCAACATGGTGAAACCCTGTCTCTACTAACAATACACAAATTAGCTGGGCATGGTGGCACATGCCTGTAGTCCCAGCTACTCAGGAGGCTGAGGTAGGAGAATTGCTTGAACCCTGGAGGGAGAGGTTGCAGTGAGCTGAGATCGCGCCACTGCACTCCAGCCTGGTGACAGAGTGAGACTCTGTCTCAAAAAAAAAAAAAAAAAAAAAAAAGAAAGAAAGAAAGAAAGAAAATACTCCAATGTGGAAATGTGCATTTTTATCCAAGTAATAGAAAGCAGCTCAAAACACATGGACATAGTATAGAGAAGTGGGAAATAATAATGGGCATTTGCTTTGAATACTTTGGTCAAGTAACAATGACTTGTTCAAAACACTGTGTAACCACTCTAAGAATGAATGACATAAAATATTATGTAGCAAAAAATAACCCAGTAGATCAGATCAAATGATTTACATTGTCTGGAGATTACAGTCAGGAAGAAGAATTGCTATAAAGTAAAAAACCCATTAATTGATTTTATTACTCAAATCGATTTCACAAATATTATCTTCTATCTTCACAGCAATGAGGTAGGCATATTGAGTTGTAAAAACAGTATCAAGAAATTCGTAATATTATGGGGGCTAATAAAAGTATTCAAAGAATATACAAAAAAAAGAAAATAGCAGGTGTCATAAAAGGTACTGAATGCTAAGAAAAATGTCCTTTAGTATAAGGTCTTTTTGTGTCATTTAGTGTAGATGTAGTATGCAGTGTGTGTATGTTTGTACAACAGAGAGTGGGAGACAGAGAGTGTTAGGAGAAATTGTTTTGTTTTTGTTTTTGACAGATGGATATAAGAAGATACAGAAAAGAGCGTTCCAGGTCTCTTTTATTCATTCAGTTATTTGCAAAAGAACATCTTGAGTGACTACACTCTGTTTAGAGCTAGGAAAGGCACTGGTAATATAGCAACAAAGACTCATTCCCTATTTTCTAAAACTTTGCCCGGTAGAAACAGTATGTAAGTAAACAGGTAAGAACATTTTATCATGAGAAAACTGCTGTAACTGGGGAAACACAGAGGCAGTGTGGGAGAATGTGGTGCGGCACCAGACCGGCCTTGAGTGCTTCCCTTCCCTGAATAACTGAATCCTCAAAGATAAGGAAAGACAAGCAAAAGAGGGAACAAAGAGCATTTTGGGAAATGAAAGGAAATAAACAAATGCTTGAATGATGGGAAGAATGATAGGAAGACTGGGGTGTGCTAAGGAAAACATTCACTCTTAGAGAAATCTTGATGTATCAAGTTATAAAAGAGATGGAGGTTATGTTATAAAGCATCTTAAATTTTGCCAGGTAGGTTAAATTATTTGAGAGTGTGCAGATACCATTGATTTTCTACATATAAGTAATTGCTCTCCCACCTTCTTTCGTGTTTTTAGAAGCCACTCATATGACAGAACCTGAAAATCATCTTTATTGATTTTTACCTGCCCTGCAGCTTTGGGTGATTAGATAACTGTCAATGAAACGTCTAGAAAAGTGACTCAGGACCATATAGGAAAAGATTAATTCCCCTGAAGAAAAGAAAGGGATATGTAAGAAGTCTTTTTCCTTTTTTTTAAAATCCATCTTTGAATATCATTTTGCAATGATGTGATACTTGGAGCTATTGCAGCAATCCTGTCACCACGAGACAATGAGTACTAAGAACAGCAGCTAATGTATTAAAAATAAGCAACAAAAACCTGAGATCCTGAAGACATGTCTGAGCTTTTAAACCAACACTAACATACCTTCTCTAGACTTATTTTTATATGAAATAACTCATTTTTAACTAGGTATTCCATTATCTGCAGCCAAAAGCATATGATATGACATTAGGAAGTGATTGTGGTTTTTAAGTAAAATGAGCATTAGAATCATACTCTACTTGAGAAGGTTTACTTGGTAGAACTTTGTAGAGAAAAGGGAGGGTGGGGGGTAATATAGTGGGCAAGATGAAGCACAAGGAGATTAGTTAAACGACCAATGTGATTGCCTAGAAAAGATGTTATGAAGACCAGAATCAGGATAAGGGTGTGAGAGGTGTAATCACTGTACACAATCCATCTTGTCTTCTCTGAATTAGATGTATACATTCACCTCCTTTGCCATGGAACCATCTGGTACAACCCACTAGAGTGTGCAGTGTTTATTTTTCCCCATTTCTTTGATATTGGGCTTGGCCAAATGTCTTCTTTGGAATGATGTAATGTGAGTGGAAATGTGTCAGTTCCAGACTGAGACCTTAAGGCGCATTGCAGATTTCTACTCAACCTCTTGCTTCTCTGCTATTGCCAAAGAAGAGCTTCCTTGGGTAGCTACTGCCCCTTCAGCCTGGGCTCCAGAATAAATACATATGGCATAGAACTGAGGCAAACCCTTAGTGAAGAGACAAGTACAGTCAGACCTGCAGCTTAAAGCAGAGCAGTCCAGTCAAGCCTGCACCACAGACGCATGAAAAATAGATGCTCCTTTTCATATGCCACTGAGATTTTATGTTTGTTTGTCATGTAGCAAGAGCTTACTCATATAGGTGGTGATGAGTCCAGGTTTTTGGTGAAATATGATCTAAGCTATGCTGTGAGAATGAAAACAAAGAGGATTGGCAGGACATGGAAACTAAAATTGAAGAGTGAACAAAATAGAAAAAAAGGTCTAAATTTGCTAAGAATGTGGAGTTATGCCTTCAGTTTAATTTCAATCCTCAGGAGAAGTCTCAAAAAAATTACTTTTACCTTAAAATTTAAGCTATTTATGCCTTACCAAATTTTATGGCACCACTTCTGCACTCTCTCCAGATGAATCCAATTCTATCCAATTCCATTCGGTGACTCTTTAGTGAGCA